TTCAGGCCCTGCAAACAAGAAACTGACCATTTAGTTGTTGTTCAAATCAGGCTTGTAGTAGAAATCTATGAAATCTCACAGAACTTCTTAAACATGGTATCCAAATTAACCGGCGACATATATTGAAGGGTATTCTAGGGGTCAATAGTACTCACCGTTCAAGACGCCCAGGGGATTGAGGCTATTTTCCCCATTTGACCTCGGCCTGATTTGGATATTACAAAAATAGAGCGTCACCCAGATAGAACAAGAACCTTTCGGAATCGCTACGATAAGGTTGCCGCGGAAAGAAATAACAGTTCCGGAAACGTTGCTGTAAAAATCTTCTCAGAAATGCTTGTTATTTCACCGGCGGAAAGGTTATAGCAACGTGGACGGCAATGAATCGGCTACCTTCCGGACAGGTTGCGGCAACCCTTCCGCGGCATGAAACATTGCCTTAGTAACGCTACTCGTCACTTTCCGATGATAGGTTTCGATAAGGTCTCCGCGGTAACATTGGGGTAACGTTCGTTCAGAAATGGTGAGTTCCTGCCTAGCCTTTCCTGGGCAAGGTTACCAATGCGTTTCCGGAAACGCTACTCGGATACCATCCCGGCAATGTTTGTTATTACACCAGCGGAAAGGTTACAGCAACGTAGACGGCAATGAGTCGGCTACCTTCTGGAAAGGTTGCGGCAAAGCTTCTGCGGCATGAAACATTGACGCGGTAACATTGGGGTAACGTTGTTTGGCAATGGCGAGTTCTCGTGTAGCCTTTCCTTGGCAAGGTTTCCACTACGTTCCCGGATACCGCACTCCATAAACTTTCCTGCCCGAAGACAACGTTACAGCAACGCTTTCGTTATGAATCGGCTCAATTTCGGGCGGGTCCAACGGCTAGGAACATTGCCGAGGAAGCGTTGTCACCAACTGCCCGAAATTTAGCAGTCCTCTTACTGTAACGCTGTCTGACTTCTGGACAGGGTTTGAAGGAACATGGTCGAAATCTTGCTGAAAAAATGCTAGCACAGACAAAACATCACAGTAACGTTACAATAAGCAATCAACTATCTCTCAGACAGGTTCCGCCATGGCAAGAGACATTGCCAATGCATCAAACTCTGTGCAACAGGTAGCTAATTGCTCACTGTGTAGTTTTCTTTGGTGTCATGATTAGCGTTGCCGGGTAAGAGTGGTGGCTACATTTCTGGTGATGTCAGCAGGACTGCTGCTTGGTGAGGTTTTACTACCCGGGTAGTTTTAGTACCGGGGCTGATCATGATACCGAAGACTTATATTTATATGACACCGAAATTTATATGCCTGTATAAGAAAGTAACTCTAAGTCATTGAACTCGTTGCAACATTGATAGAAATATGTTAAAAGTACCTGCCACAGAAGATCGCCGAAATTAGAAAACTGCTCATTCTTATTTATGGGAAATTATAAAATACGATTTTCAAAATACTTTCCATCTCATTACTTTTTAACTGCGTTGAAATATGATCAAAGAGTTGCAAAATACTTTTCTTCTTCTTTAGCATATAACTTTTTTTTTTTTTAAATTGAAAGAACAAAAGTGGAAAAATAAATTAGCAAACTGATGGAGTAATAAACAAATGTATTAAAAATGTAATAGAAACAAGACTTATTTTTCTTGGTAATGTTGCAAGAGTTAAGAAAAAATAAACAATACAAAACAAGATAGTTGAAGAATACAATTAATAGGCAAAGACATTGAAACTCAGAAAACACTTCTAATAGTCTTTTAAGGTGAGGAAAAAATGTTTGCATAACACAATTATTGTCATTAGTTACATTAAAATGCTCAATCTCTGCTAAATGAAGAATATGGAGCTTTGTAAGATTTATGGATTTGCGAGGGAATAAGCCTGGATTTTGCCACAAAGATTTGCAATTGAAGTACTTTCCCCCGCTGTAAAATTTTGCAAGAAACACAATGGTACCACTCTGAAAACTGAAACAAACTCCCAAGATGAAAAATGGCACTCACCCTCCAAAAAATCATTACACACATTGTCCATGTTGTGTTACATTGTCCATTACATTCTTACTTTCAAGAGCTTTTCTAAGAAAACCAAGAGGCACCGTTGTGTTTCTTGCAAAGTTTTACAAAAAAAGGTACTTAAATTGCAAATCCTTATGGCATGCAAGAGTGTGATGTGCATTCGACTTCTGTTACGTTAGACAGCTTAATATACAGGGTGTCCCAAAAGTCCCTTCCACCCCCTCTAAAATTTTACCTAATTAATATTTTGAAACGAGACTTTGGGGATGTTCATCGATCAATGTAAGCTACTTTTGGGGCCCCCCAAAATTCTCGGGCCCCCCCGTGGGGAGGGGCTGCGGACCCCAACTTTTTTTTTCAAATAGCAACCCCTATCTTGTGATACCTCATTCGAAAGAGCATAAAAAACTAAGAATTTTGGCGCAAACCGCAGATCAATATCTTAATTTTTGACCGAGT